TGGTTTATCTGGGAATAAATAAATAAATAAATAAATAAGTATCATTTATAAAGCGCCAATGCAAGCGACTGAGGCGCCCGAAATACATGTTTTACGAAAAATATTACAACTTATCCAAGAAATTTTACAGCATATATAAAATATTTTACAACATTTCCAAAACATTTTACAACAGTCAGTCAGAAAAAATCTGAGTTCGGCAATTGACAAAGGTTGTAAAATATTTTGGAATTTTGGAAACGTCGTAAAATATTTTGGATATGTTGTAAGATCTTTTGTAGATGTTGTACAATTTCTTGGATAAGTTGTAATATTTCTTGTAAAACCTTTTATAGAAAAGAAATATAAACTATGTTATTAATAATAGTAGTAATAATAATATTATCATTGTTATAAGTGTTATCATTATTAAAGTCATCATCATCCTTATTAACGTTACAAATACATTATAGAATGACTACAATTGATTCATAAAGCTCAAGTTATTAGATTTATGTTTGATTTATTACGTACAGACAAGCATAATCCTAATCATGCATGATCCCAGTTCAAGGATTCTTATTTAAAAAATGCCAGAAAATTTATTACCCCTCTTACTTCAACAGAATTAATTTATTATGAAAATCTTATAAATTAGAAAAAAATTGATCTTTAGAAGCAATTTTAATTCATCAATTTGATGTCACGTTTTTTACACTGTTAGGAGTTAGGACTCTTCTAAATTGTCATTGAAAGCTGTGACGTAACAATTTAAGCATTGCATGGCTAACATTAAATTCGGGCTTTTTAGGTGGTACAATACATATCCAAAACTTTCTATCTTTTACAAGCTTGGTCAGTTCTTCATGTAGTTGTTCTTTCTCCAGATTCATATGCTCGAGGTGCTGGTGGATTTTGTCTAAGTATATCAGACGACGTTATCTGCCTCGTCTGTTTTGTCCTGTTTCTGGTCAATATTTTATTATCCATAATATCTTTTTACAATTAAGTATGCCTCTGAAATATGTCAACTAATATAAGCGGTTAAGTTTAAAAAAATGTGGAAAAAAGTTAGACTTTTGCATTCATAATAAATTATTTTTCACGATCCAACTTAATTTATACAATACAATGTACTTGATATAAAATCTGTTTATTAACATACCTAAGTGTTTGTCAATCGTTGAATATAATCTTTAGCTTACAAACTCGTTCACCATAATAAACCATCTACCTGTCGATACATATTTTTTTTAGTAAAACTGCATATAAGTAACACACCACACCGCCAACAACTCATTAATCTGATTGTTTTGCATTTTTATTAACCTTAAAAAAAGTTAAAAAGTTACACAACACATACATTTCCTCCTTCCTCTTCCAGATGATCAATGTCAGCTGGTTGTTCTTCTTCTCAAAAATCGTTGAACTTGCTGACACCGTACGTTTCCATTTTCATTTTTTTAAATTGCTAATAACAGAGAGAGAGAGAGAGAGAAAGAGAGAGAGAGAGAGAAAGAGAGAGAATGTTTTTTAATATTTTTAATAGAACTTTAATTTAATTGGACAACAGGCAAGGGTAATTAATGAATGAATTGAATGGATGCAGGTGTTTTTTATCCTGAGAAAGAAGAACAGTCAAGTGACCTTTCTACATGTTTACCACCATGCCACCATGATCATCAACTGGTGGATGGCTGCGAAGTACGTCCCCATTGGCCAATGTTAGTACAGCTTCCATTCATTCACTCATCCACTTTGATGTAGCACAAGCGTGCGCACGTATACAAACAAACACTCATACATACGTTTGCATATAATTATATACAGAGAGAGAGAAAGAGAGAGAGAGAGAACAAGAGAGAAAGAAAGAGAGAGAGAGAGAGAGAGAGAACGAGAGAGAAAGAAAGAGAGAGAGTATTGTTAAATGTTTGTAATAATAATATATTCTCCGGTTACTAGTTTAAATTATAAAATGTGCATCTAACACCGAGGAAATTTATGGAATTTATTACTTTATTTATTACTTTTGCTTATATTTTATTCTTCTTTTTTTTCTATTTCGTTTTTTAGTGTGCCTTGAATGGTTTTTCTTTCAAAAGGATTGTTTTAAGTTTGAACGCACTTGAGAGGAAAGGATACATTATTGATTTGCAGTTATTTATCTTCATATAAAATGTTATCTACCTTTACTTTCCAAACATGAGAATAATATAAACCCGGCATCATAAATTTTTATTACGAAAGTATCTAGAACAATATATTGTTATATCTTGTCATTTTATCTATTTATCATGACCTTCCATAATTTTCATCTAGACATGTTTTTAAAAGTTTTTAACTAATTTTTAAATCTAGTTTTCTCAATTTGCGTTCGAGCAAAATCGAAACTTTTACCTGCTGAAGCATTATTTACTTTAAAAATTTTTATTTTAAAATCCCTCTCAGGACATGATAACGTGACGTTAAGACCCTAAAAACATTTATGCTCCGTGCTTTCGCGATGATTTTGTTTCAAATACAAAAGTTTAACTCAAATAAAATCATCTTTGAAAAAACCGATTTTATAAAAATGAGATTCTCGTCAGAACACGACTGAGCTACTTTAGCTCATCTTTTCAAATAATTTTATCAAAACTTCGAATGTGCTTGCTGTTCGCTGGTTATTTATTGTCTTGCTACTAATGACAGTGTTCTCTTCGGCGAGCACAATGTACATTCACAAATGGCAAAGTCAACATAAATTATTTGTTCACTTATTTGTTGTCGCTATAACGACAGCCACATTGTGTCAACATAGCACCATTAGTACTACATATACACATGGACTGTGTGTGTTACTTGCTAATGTTTGTACAAAATAATGTTTACGGGAGGTGACTTCTCACTAAGAACATGTAATGCTTCCTCAGTCTCTCAATCAATGTCCTTCACACGCTGGTGAATTTATCATCATACAATCCTGATAGCATTTGCACACTTATCTCTCTCTCTCTCTCTTAACTCATATCACTTTTGTTCTACCTGAAAAGCTGTTGAGCAGTTAAAAATGAGATGAGGACATGTCAAATCATGAAATGTATTAATAAGAATATCTAAAGTTAAGTTTCTGCTACCATGCACTACATAAATGATATTTATGAAGAGGTGGTTTTGTTCTAAAGACTGATCTAATACAATATTTGTAAATTATGTTATTTATAATACAAAACATTCAACAAAATTGAAAAATTGTCTTCTAGCTTACTCACTGGATCTTTTTTGAGATAGCTTTGACTTTTTTCTCATTGACCGCAACGTAATCTTCTAGAATCATTAAAAGTTGCAATTCTCAAAAAATATCCAAGACGAATAAATTCAAAATTACACAGTTCAATTGCTAATTCAAACAGGTTGCTTCAGTTTCAGCCATATAAGGAATTATAAATTAAAAGTTGTCTAATTTTTAATTATTTTGAAACAATTCAGTTCCTTATAAAAATTTATCATCTGCAGCATTTTTTGTTGGAGTCGTCAACTCGTTCATCCACACCCTGATGTACGTTTACTACGCCTTAGCAGCCCTAGGACCTGAGATGCAGAAATATCTGTGGTGGAAGAAGTACATGACCAAACTCCAACTGGTCGGTTCACTCATTTACTCGTTCCAATGTTTTTACGATGTGTATATAATATTAAAAGATAAACAACAGTCTATATGTATTGTGGTCTATTTAGAATTGTTTTATATCTTTTTGGTCTGTTATTTGACTGTTAACAGTGAAAATGTTAACCGAACCGCAAAATAGGTTTCACGAAATTGCACTCACCAAAACTGCACGTCTACAAAGTTTTTGAAAGTTGACCGACTCTGTAATAAATATTAGGTGAAGATTGATTTAATTTTCTAACCCAGATTCAGTTCGTGTTGGTTGTCAGTCACACGGGCAACAACCTGTTCTACAGAATGGACTGCGACTACCCCTGGCTCTACAACACAATCACATTCTACTACACTTGGTCGATGCTCTTTCTCTTTCTCAACTTTTATTATCAAACCTACATCTCAAGGAAGAGGGCTGACAAAGTCAAAAAGGAGCCGACCAAAAGCAAATTAGAGACAGAAGGCAATGGACATGTGAAGGAGGTGAAAAATAACGGTGAAAAACTCGTAAGAAGCAGAAAGACTAATGGATTTGTAGACTGATTTTGAAATTTATTAATTAATTATATTTAATTAAACTAAATTAGTATCTGTGACTCTGCTGCGGATTGAATGGGCTCATACGATGAAAAGCATTTCTTATTTATTTTTTTTACTAAGACTTGTAATTAATTCCAGTGTGCGCAAGCTTTTATCCAAACACTTGTTTTAATGTTTTGAAAAAATGTTTCTATTTTAGATCAATTTGTACAACGACCTATTTGAAAATTCAATTTTTTTTTCATTCTACAACCACGGTCAAACAGATAATTTTAAATTTGTGATTCATCCGTACGTATAAGTTATATTTTCACGTTCATTCATTAAAACATTCCACGTTGAATGCATTCAAAGTGTTGTTATTACAATATTTTTACACGTTTAACTTATTGCTCCTATTGAATAAAACGCTGCTTGTTTATGTAAGGTGCTTCCATGCTACGCTGAAGAGCATAAACAGCTGTCTCATGAAGCTTACATTTGTCAATTTAATTAATATTTAATTTATTGAAGTAATTATTGTTGAACTTTATAATTGCAAAATGATCCCTCCGTATACATTATTAATTGATCACAATATTTTTTATGTTTAAATTGTTGTTCCTTTATAAACAAAATAGTACCTAGCGAATAAGATGTAGTTTAAACGCTTGTTGACGATGCATAGTATTTTTATCCTGATAATGCCTTGACTTTTTTTTTTATTTTATACGTTATTGAATGGTATCGTAATAATATAATTGGATGTGAGATGCACATATGCAAAAAAAATCACGTTAGCTTAAATTATCTACAAACTTTTGTGATTATTCATTAGATGGGAAACTGTTTTTATCGCAAGGAAATATATTTACGTTACTGCCAACAGACGCCACCGTTCGCTTACAATATAGGTACATACAACTCACCTCACATTTGTAATTGCAACACGTTTTTGTGCATAGCATTATAAACTCAAGTTGTTTATATCATAACCAAAAACGTCGAAACTGAAAGTTCCTTGTTTAGCATCAAATGTTTTTTGACGAATCAATATATATTTTATTTATTCTTACATTTTATGATTATTTCATTGTCACGTCAACATTTTTTCACTTGTAAAATGAGTTTTATTTTCTAATAAAAATTTACCCCACGAAATATTTTGTTATCAAGTGTTATTGTAAATTTTATTTTTCATCGCATGGCCGTCGATAGAAATATTGTGGATAGAGAAATTATTTCTTACGATTTATTAAAAATTACCAGGTGTATAGAACCATGTGGAAATTTAAAACATGAGACATGCTTAGGAAGCTAATTACAAATTTTTTTTTTATTACATCCATTCCAAATTCAGTTATTTCAAAAAAGAAATATAGATTCATACATGTAATTGAAGCTAACTAAGAAATATTTCACTTCTATTACAAATCATTAGCCAGCATTCAGCAGCGTGTTACTGTTAAATTAGGTTAAGTTATTATTAAATTAACTTTCATGTAACACTGTTAAAGAGAAGTTTCCCTGTTTTGCAGATCAGTTCAATTGGAATGTCGTTTAAAATATGGAAAAATGACTCGATTCCAAATTTATCCAGTTTGACTAATAGCTGTTGTTTTAAAAATGAAAATTTATCAGATCATGTGAGCAAGTATAAAATTTAATGATTCTAATTTTTTTCATTTAAACAGAATATAGTTGGAGGAAGCCAGAGATGACAGCGAGAAAGAAGTAAGAATTTGTACTTGAGCTTTGCCAAGTCTGGTAAATTTTATTAATATGCAAGTAACTATAACTCACTATGATGGATGAAAAATCTGTGTTTAGCAAAAATCTCGTTCTTGATGCAACAGCAACATTCTTAATGCGAAACTCTCCAATGAATACTCTAAAAAAGTTTATTAGTAATTATAAAACGTTTTTTACTTTTTAATTAACACGCAATGTAATACAATTACAAAAAATCAATTTCACTAAACCTTTCTTCAAACATTGGAAATTCTTTCACAACATCCTGACGTCATTCAGATCCGGCAATGAAACAGCGTGCTTTGTGTCGTCACATCATGGTTGTCTCGGTGGTGTATTTCTTTCTGACAGGTGCCTGTGCAATCAACTTAAACTTAAATTCATTTTTACAACAAATTTATAAAAATAAATGTAATGGAAGTTTATTCCATCTGAAATGAATCCGAAACGATTTAATTAAATGAAAGTTGCTGGGGCGGGTAGATAGATGTAGGTAGGTAGGTAGGTAGATAGGAAGCAAGGGTACACACTTCTTCTCCACATTCCATAAATATATTTATTAAACATTTGTTCAATATGGTGATGCGAAGAAGAGCGTTACTCCGATGCTTTTTTCGTTTCAATCTCCTACTAAAAAAGTTTTAACTAGTCTAAAAATCGAAGTCTGTATAACAAACTATAAATTCAAAGAAATTTTTTTAAAAACTGATATCACGTTTCTTGAAACTTTGTTATAAAAGGTAATGCTCTTACGAGCCAACCTCGCAACAGACAGAAATATTTCCTAGTTCAATTGCTGTTTTATCTCAAGCTTGTTGCATACTTTTCTTCTTCTTGTGGTAGTAGTAGTGCAATTATATATCGCTGGATGCCGACTGAAGCTGCACAAATAAACCTGTTGAGAAATATTTGAGTTACGAACGCATATATGTACGCATGTATGGGTGTACAACTCGTGCATAACTGATGTGTGCATCGGAAGATGAAGGAAGAAATACTTTTGTGCAACGTACACAAGTGATCTGCTCGATGTGCTAACCTTCTCTGCAAAGTTCACTCCTACTTCTTGCAGATTGCTTGCTTGCCTTCTCGCTGCAGAATTGCTCCAAACATATCCAAACTCTATTTGTATGTTCTATCTACATAATCCACACATGTATATTGTAATGCAAATAATATATCAGACACATGTGTGTATAATTATATATATATATATATATAATCTACATATATATTAAAAGAATTTAGAACAAATTATAGAAATTATTCAATAATATATAAAGGAAATAATTGGAAGTATATTGATATAATAAACTCAACTAAGTTTTTCTCCTATATATATATATATATATATATATATATATATATATAGTTTTTCTCCTATATATATATATATATACATATATATATATATATATAGGAGAAATATATATATATATATATATGTACACATACGTTCATACACAAACATATACATATATAATAAATATATATGTATATATATATATATTATATAATCATACATGTATACAGCATTAATATGAGCACGTGCAAACTCACGGCAGAGCGACGTCAGGATGGACCACGTGCTTTGCAGACTCGCCGGGCATAAGAATTTCATTGGCCAGTAGTATAATGCAAGAATGCAGTGGAGAGAGAGAAAGAGAACGAGCGGGTCGAGAGCAGGAACAAAGAAATAACTAAACCGTTGTGTTTGTGTTTGTTGTGCGTTCGTACTTACGCATGTTATTCGTTCAAACATGTGTTGCAATGCAATATAGCTTGGTTGCTATCGGCTCGCAACCGCACACAGTCACATACACACACATAAACACACACAGGCAGTTAGTTGGTAAGTAGTTTTACGTTCTAGTTGAAGTTGAAGAACAAAGTTGCAACAATACGAACAATGGATCGTTGTGTTGTTTCGTTGTGATGTTTCGTTGTGAGTGCCTTCGTGATTCAAAACCTTTCACATCTTCGTTCAGGGTGATGCGGTAAATAGGAACAGAATAGTTCACAGTTTGTTGAGCTGCTGGGATTATCATCGGACTTCCAGTTTATCCACGTGGATTGTATAGAAAAATTTATTAATCAGACAAAAACTTCGAAAACTGGCAGACAAATGTCCGTTTTATTCAATTATATACGTGTTAAAAGATGTAAATCTATCAAAATAAAATAATTGCCCCACAACCATGAATTGAAAACAAGCTCGCTAATTAAACTAATGATTACACATTACACACAGACCCGAGTTTGACATTCAGTAGTTTTTCAGCTAACGCAAACTCATTTGAGTGTATTATACACACGTATATGAGGATTCATATACACACACATATGTATATAAATAAATGTATATAATATATAATATTGTTTTCGTCGTAATACGTTGTTGTACGATATTGTGTAGACGAATGTAAAACGACCTCAGACCATCCAGCGCATTCAATTAAAATACATTTTCCAACACATGCTCGCGCACACACACACACACACTCATACACACACACACACACACAAACACGTCTACATATTACACATATGCGTTTCAAAAACATTTTAATAATAATAAACACAAATTCGGATGACATAAACTGCGTGTATATATATATATATATATATACATATACAACATCCACCAACTTATATTCTATTCATAACATAGTTATGTCTATATATAAATAAGGGTGTAACAAATATGTCTATAATGATAATATATTATAATATATATATATATATATATTTATGAGTAAAAGTACAGCAGTAACGGGTAGGATATAACAAAAATTTGGCGAAACACTTCACCCTGCACCACCGTGCATGACAATGACTGGAAATTGTAGAAGTAACAATTTTGCAAACGGCTACTGATGTGGCGAAGGCAAGACGTTGTAGGACAAGTAGGAAAGTAGTTGACAATTTCCAAAAACGCTCGGGAAATGTAAAATATAAAATAAACCTCAGAGATTGTTAGGAAATAATCCGACCAACCAAATTTGATCGACGGTATGATGAAGAATTTTGTGCACGTAAATTTCAAATTGAGTCAGAATATTTTTCAATTATTTTATTTCTGGAAATATAAAGATATAGCTACTGAAATATAGAAATATTTTCTAAGCAACCCAATGCTTCGGAGAATGACGACAGAATGATAGATACACGGTAAAATAACATTAACGTTTGCCCTGCTTTGACTTGAATAATGAAATCAAGACGAAGTTTATAAATTTTTGACATTCGGAAATATATTTTATTATGAAATTCTTAGACGAGTCGAAGGATGTTTTTAAATAGATTATAACAAAAGTGTACGTTTTATGTGGATAGACATTAATTAAGAAGTAAGGTCGGTGAGGCAATTGTTTAGAAGAAATTGAGGAAAAGAGGCATAGAGAAATCGAAGACGAGAATTTTGTTAAAAGTAACCTGAAGAAGATTGGCCAATCAATTAAAAAAAAGGATTCTGCAAATAGTAAAAAAATGAGTGAAGTAAAATGATCTGTAGACGGACGTGCGTTAGAACATAATCACATGCTGAATAATTAAACTAATAATTAATTAAATAATCAATTAAGATGAGAACATAAACGAAAAATATGAAAAACTTCATTTTATCCGCCTCGGTCAGACAAAACAAGTGGAGAATGGAGTTATTCACTCAGAGATGATTTCAATAATGCCGACGATTGCAAAGTACTTGCACTCACAACGATAGTACAATAAGAACACACAATATCCACATGTGTAGATACGTTTATTTATGCATATATTGTAGTACACATAAGTACAATTATTCACTATATATATATATATACATATATATATATATAACGTATATAAATATACATATATATATGTATATATATATAAGCAGACGCATATAATGTGTGTTTGTTACATAGCTTGTGTTTGCGTGCACGTGTGCGTGTGCGTGTGTAAGTTTAAGTTTATTCTGAAACAACATAATTAAGCAAGTGAGCTCCGCAGCTTCGCACGCAACTTTATAACATTATAACGATGCCGGTTATGATGATAGTTGTGAATGTCTGTGATGTGGTTGGTGTGTTGTTGTTGTTGTTCACGCCGTGAGCGAACGAGTGAGTGAATGAGTGAGCGAGCGAGCTCTGGATGATCTTGTTGTGAAAGTTCATTGGATGTATTCATTCTTCACCAAGTTGTATATGTATGTGTTGTGTATTTATAGTCGCGTGTTTTTATTTCTGCAGATATTTACAAAAGCATAAATGTTTGTGTCTAAAGGCTGGGTAGTAGCGTGCGTTTCCATGAACATGTTTGTGGCTGTTGCTCGTGTTTGTGCTTTTTAGGAAATGGCAAAACGTGTATGTAAATAAACAAATGTTCACCGACACAAATCCGCTCGTTTATAACAACTTGTGCATCTGCTGATGTTTTGTGCGCGTGGAGTGCAACTGCCTCCAGATCTAGTACGGTGTTGCGTTGGATTCGAATGAACGAAATATCTTAATAAAATTATTTCGTTCCATACTTGATTTTTCTGTAATTTTTGTTCAAATTTAAATTTTCGATTAGTGAATTTATTTTTTGCATTGATTAGATGGACTCATACAAGTGCAGGTCTAGATTAACACGGACGCATGTTTCTAACGCAACGAACGTTCTCATTCAAAATATATTTAACTAAACTATGCATCGTTCGTTATTTCGGATGCACGAGAATTTCGTATCCAGATGATACAATAAAAAAGTTAACAATTTTATAATAAATTGAAATCACCGGTAGATAAACTTAGGCTAAATAATTAAAGTATTGGATAATTCAAGTCAAATGATGCAACAACGAACAGTGAACACGAAAAAGCTTAAACTTATTATGCGAGCATGTATGTATGTAATGTATGTACCTCAAGGAAAATAGATCAAGATAACGAGTTTTATGCAACATGCATGCGTGCACGCACAAACATACATACATACATAATAGTGTAATCATACATAGATGCATACATATGTTAAAACACACAAGCACACACAAAAGTATAATGGAAACAGGACAAGCTGTACAACAGCAAAGCTACATCATAATCATTATGCATACATTCTTGTATGCAAATTTAACTGGGTACTATTTCAACGTAATGTATGCAGCTGCTGTAGTTGTAGTTAGGTGTGCGTTTAAAATTGTCTGTTATGTGATGTGATGTGTGAGTGTGTAACTAATGTGTTTGCTAGCAACAATAATGATGATACAATAGTTTAGTCACTGGATGATGACGATGAAGTCTGCCTGGTGGATTGTCCGACTCAAGTACCTGACGGGAAAAGAGCCATTGAGATATTTTTATTTTTAGTTCGTTAAAAGTTGGTCATAAAAGTAAAATGGAATGGATGATTGGGCAAGCAACTATTATTAAATTATAAAAGTGGACTCTCCTGCGCTCACGCACGCACATACACACTCGCCACACACGCACGATCATACTTACAAACTTAATAAATAACCTTTTGTGTACAAAATCTTCAAAAATTCGCGCCAAATTATTTATAATAAACTTTAGTTTAAAATAGAGGTGCCAGTTTGCACATTAACTAAAAGAAATTATCATAGTCAAAAATTATATTGAAAATTATTCAATAGTTCTAATCATATAATTAATCAAGTAAATTCAAAAACTAACCTTTGTTGTGTTGGACGTTTTCTAACAATTTGAAACCAATCGACGGTGCTATGCTATTTTATAGTTATAGATAACCTCTTCTATACAAATATATATAAATGCATTCATATTTATACATGTGACATTGACGAATAGTCGGTTTTTGTTGAAACAGCTAATTCAGTGATTGAGAATAGCTTAGTTATCGCAAACGTGCTACTTGCATATCTCTTTATTTTCAAGCACTAATCATGTAATCATTTCCATTTCCTCCACATTTTTGCAATTAGACGAATATATTTCATATGAACTGACTTAGCCATTCAAAGTTCGTGGTCACTCCTAACTTGCTTAATAGTTTTGGCTTCTAAACTATTTCAAAAATGTGTTTCCTATTTGAATGGATGAGTATAAGAAAGTGTAGCAGAAATGTTAAAATGAAAAACTCAACCTGGTAATTACATATTGGTATATCACATATATATCTTTTCTGTGATAAATAACAAAATTTCTCTGTAATATCAGATCAATATTTTTTGTATAATGACGAATGAACATTACTGTGGAATATGACGAGCTAATCCGTTGACATATTTCAATTTAACATCGTTGACATCCACGTGGTATAGGTTGGTCAGTGGAGACTATTTTGTGTGTGGTGGTTGTTTCATGTAGCGTGTGGTTATCATTGTTTCATAGGGTGTGTCGTGGTTTAGTTAAAGGTTTTGGCCGGTTAATTGAGATATCTTTATTCTAAAACGTTGATCTTTCTAGTACCGACGAAACAAGGTTAGGCAAGAAGGACGAGAATGAATGAAATACAGCATTCTCTGACTTTATTTTAAACTAAACAGGATAGGCGTTTACAAAATAGTATTGAATTAAAGGTGGCATATGTTTCATTTTTGTATTTTAATTAAAATGTGGTCACACTAGCCAGCAAAACAGCAAAGACAGTTCCACCGTTAGTAACCAGTTGTGTTAAGCTGTTAAGCAGCAAACTTAGAGCCATACCAGGCAAAGCAAAGTACTGTAATTATAAAGCGCGTGAAAAATGTGTTTATCCTTTCCAACGAAAAGTAAAGTCGTTTAAAGGCGGAACAAATGTAAATTTTTGTTTAAAACAAAATGGGCAACGAAAGCAGTAATGTGGTTGACAATAATTTAAGATCTGAACGCGATGAGGACATTTCATTTAATTCTTGCTCTACTAATCGGCCGATTGGTTCAGGTAGCAAAAGTTGAAAGTAACTTTAAAATAATAGTTTTCAAAATGTAAAATTAATTTAACAATGAATTAAATAATTAATTTAATTAATTAATATTAAATTAGTTAGAATAATAATTAATAAACATTCATTACCATGTTTACGTGCATGTACGAGTACGTTGTTAGAAAATTTATTTAAATCTTATTATTGCTAATTTTTTAGATTCATCATTCAGATCATCTCCAAAAATACCATTGCGAAATAAATCAGCATCCAAATCTCAATCTGTCAACACAAAGATCATTGTTGTTGCTGAAGGAAGTACAAATGAAGAAAATGAAGACAATAATTTATTAAAAAAATTAGACAACATATCAACTGCCCAGCCATTCCTTCCACTGACAATTTCACTAACTAGTAAGCCACAGTTTGATGTTAACCTACACAGATTAAATGGAAAACTTTGGTCTGATCTTTTTTCCAAATATCAGGACCACCTGAAACAGTGTTCTGACGTTGTTTTATTTGATCAAAATAACTTGGTATCCAGAATTAAGGAGGTTTATGTATTTTATTATTTTATAAACAGATTTCACTTATCCTGTTATATTTTTATTGAAACTCTATTTAGAAATGAATAATATTGATATATACAAATATGTTTTTTAAAAGCTGGACCTGAATTTGCAAACTCACTATCTAGTGTTGATTGAAAAAAGAAATAAGTTTGCCAAGTACACAGAGCAGGTTCAAAAAGTTCAAGAAATATCATCTGCATTGAAAAGAATCCACAGCACATTACAGAACACCATTCATACAATGAATAATTTAAATTCATTACTTCCGCCCAACGAACAGCTGGAAGTATTCACGCTATCTTCAAATACACCACCATCAACATCAACCACAAACACTGATAACGACACCTAATTGGTTATATTTACAGTTTTAGTTTTATTATTACACATTACATATTACATTTGTTTATCAAAGTTTATATATTATCATAATTTCTTAAATCCAGTCATCAATATGTATATAGTTCAATTTTTAACTATTATTTGCAACAAAAATAATTTTTTAATTACAAGAAGTTTCAACTCTGATGACTCTTTACCACTTCTGTCCCCATGATACACTGAAAAGGATATAATTTAATGATTATTCATTCATTTTAATTATCTATTAACCTATTCATCAGTTTTATTGTTTAAAAAAAAAGAGTGTGCATGTCAGTATGAAACTGCATTTTATGTTGGTATTTCTTTTCATTATTCATACTGCAATACGTATAAACCAGTCTTCAACTTTGCATCAAGTACTATTTTATAATTTAATACAATTTTCCTGCTAAACATATTGTACTTTTAATGTATACCTATTTTTATATATAAGTGCTACTGATGCACATGAATGAGATAACATAATGTAGTCTACAAAACAAACATCTGTGAATTCTTTAATGTTGATTTTGCCATCATTATCCTTGTCGTTGTACACGATTGTTTTATCAACAATTTGTTGGAGCATCTCATCGTCAACATTCTTTCCAATGAGAGATTTCAGTCTGTAGTACAGTTCACCATTTGTTATGTAGCCATCGTTGTTTGTGTCATAGATCGAAAATGCAACTGAAAATATTTAAAATAAAATGTACAGTTACAGGGGTTCTTGAAACAGTTGGTTATAAAATTTGTTTACATTGCAGTTTGGTTGTTGCATCACCTTTCATGCTTATTTTGGACATTCCATTGATGAATTCTGTAGTATAATGGTAAAAGTAAATAAATTTGCCACTTTTTAATTACATTATATCTAATGAAAATAAGTTATTAGAATCTATTTTTCTTGGAAAATTCATCTTAATTAACAGCTCATGTTCTAGTCTGTTTATTGAGATGATCATAATATGGTTTAAGATCATTTTTTACCAGAAACCTAAGACTGTTTAAATCTTTTTATAAAAATAAAAAAGTTGAACTTAACAAAAACAATGTTATACAGATAATAAATTAGATGTACCATTAAAATCGATGGTTCCATTTTGATCACTGTCAAAAAGTTCTATCAATCTGTCAGTGAGGGGGTTGGTCTCCAAGCCAGGGACTGCCATGATTTCATCTCTACTAATCACACCATCTCTATTCTGATCCAGTTTTGTAAATCTCTCTGCCAATTTCTTCAGTTCATCATCAGTGACTAGCAATTTTTATAGTTGATGTTATAATAATAAATTGCAGACTCTATAACAATGATAATCAAATTTATAATTATAATTTATATTATGAGATCAGTCACACAGTTCCAAACAAAACTAAGTAGTGTTTAGAAAATTTAGATTAAGTTGTCTTTATTTTATAGTTTATAAGAAGTTATAAGACATCTATTTTGCTAGCTAAAGCAGCTGTAGAAAAAATGGCTTATATTGTATTATATATTATTATAACATAATCTGGTTTAAAATTCATATTTTTCGAAAATAAATGTACATTCATGAATGTAGCACATTATTAAGATATTAATTACAAAGGATAATTACATCCATTAGATAAGCCCAATGTAACTTGCTGCTCACTCGAAGCTGGAGTTTGTGCATTCCCCTGAATTAAATAAACATTTTGTACTTAAGTCAAAGTCAATAAAATCAAACGTCACACCACGCATACAGATCATTATACGACATCTGCACTACTAAACTAAACAGAATAAAATTATAACACATAAATAAGTCATAAATAAACGAAACGATCGCGCGGACTAACCATTTTTTTTATTCAATTAATTAATTAACTATTTAAACAAATATTGATGCAAATATTGAATGAATTAAATTTATTTAAAGCAACTTTTTAAATACGACAGCTCGGATTGAAAATAATTCACGATTTGAGTCATTGGTAACGTTTAAAATTCAAAATAGCGAAAAACGTTTAATTCAAACATGCTCAATTATGTTTTTAAATTAATATAAGTTAAATAAATTATTTCACAAATTAATGAAATATTTTAAAGTATTTTCAGTTAATTAGAACATGTAGGTATTTGAATAAAACGCATGTTTTATTTTTCTTTTCCCCAAAACAGTTTGGGACCGAAATTGATATATTAGTTATTGTTTTGATTATCGCTCGTCTGACAAGCGAAATTTTTGAAACTGTTTTATTTTTAACTACTTGGACTGTTGTTAGTTGCCTAAATTAAAAAAATGTCTCGGGGCAATAGTGCCGGATTCGATCGTCATATAACAATTTTTTCTCCCGAAGGAAGATTGTATCAAGTTGGTCAGTGTCTCTAGTATTACTCTTTTTTAAATTTTTTTTGCTGGCCAGATGCACTGGTGGATGGTAAAAGCAGTTTTGTTACCAATTAATTGGAATTATGGCGTGTATGTTTTGATCTGCTTCATGCTTGTATAAAGTGTAAATTGAGTTAGTTTCAAGGTAAAATAATAAATAAATTTAATTAATAAATCAATTAAACTGTTTGTTTTTTGATTTTTTAATCCAACTAACTAAAGTATTTGACAAAAATTTACTTGCATTGCTTATATAAATAAGCAATGCAAGTAAATTAATTTAAATTAATTAATTGTAAGTAAAGTAAATAAATTATATGTTGCTATATATTATATAGCAACATATATAAATAAATGTAATAAACATGAGCTTAGTTAAGGGTAAAATTTATTTTTTATTTTTTTAAATAATACAACATAACTTAAAATTATTTTAATATTAGTTGATTTTTAAAAAACAGAGTATGCATTTAAGGCAATCAACCAGGCAGGCATGACATCTGTGGCCATCAGAGGTGTCGACAGTGCTGTGGTTGTTTCTCAGAAGAAGATACCTGTTTGTAATACTTACTGTTTTCCTAATATGTCATATCAATATCGTTCCAAGCAATAATTTTTATAACATATTATAGATTAGTATAACATATAGGAGCATTACATTAATTAAGCTATGGTTGCTCTATGTCTTCATCAATGATTTAATTTTAATGTTACTGTCAGAATTAGCTTTTTAAATCTATTTTTAAAAATGTATTTCTGGAACAGGATAAGCTCTTGGACCCCTCAACAGTTACACATTTGTTCACTCTGACTGAAACAATTGGTTGTGTCATGACAGGCATGCTAGGTTACTTGCTTGCCCTTATCCATTATTTTATTATTATACTTCTTTTTTATTTTAATGGAAATCGATTTCATGAAATGGTTTTGATTTGCAAAAAAATGTTTTTATGACTTGGCTAACATTTGTAATAATTATTGATTTAAACCTGTAAATTAATGCTTTCTATTAAATATCTAAAAATTCAATTCACCTCATTAAAAAAATTATTAAAAAAGTTCATCTCATTGCTTTTTGAAGTACAATGTAATGCTTACAATGAACTATCAAACAGCTGACAGCAAGTACCAAGTACAGCGTGCTCGTTACGAAGCAGCTAATTGGAAGTACAAGTATGGTTATGACATTCCAGTTGACATGCTCTGTAAAAGGATTGCTGACATTTCACAAGTCTACACACAAAGTGCTGAAATGAGACCTCTTGGATGTACCATGATGTTGATCGGGATTGATGAGCACAACAAGTCCCAGGTTTATAATGCTACATTTATTAAGTGGTTTTTTATATAAATTTGATGAATGAATTATCCATTTAACATCATCAAGATGTTATACATTAGAGTTCATTTTTTATATATCAATTCATTATGTTTTTGTTAAGTTTATCAACATATAAAAGCGAGTGGGGTGATAGGAATTGAAGTTATGATGAGAATTGCTAACAGTATGTTTGATGATGAAGGTATACCTGAGGATTGGCGACACAGTGTGTTGGTGCTGTTGTATAAGGGCAAAGGAGATGTGAGAGATTGTGGGTCATATAGGGGTGTGAAATTGCTTGAGCACGGAATGAAGGTAGTGGAGAGGGTGCTTGAGAGGAGGTTGAGACATATGGTGACAGTTAATGAAATGCAGTGTGGGTTTATGCCTGATAGGGGAACGATGGATGCATTGTTCATGGTGAGAATGTTGCAGGAGAATTATAGAAAGAAGAAACGAAGATTGTACATGTGTTTTGTGGATCTAGAAAAGGCTTTTGATCGAGTACCAAGGAAGGTCATTGAATGGGCGTTGAGGAAGAAAGGAGTGAATGAGAGACTTGTTAAAGCTGTGATGCAGCTGTATGAAGGGGCAAAGACAAAGGTAAGGGTTGGAAGGGGGATATCGGACGCTTTTAGTGCTAAGGTAGGAGTGCATCAAGGATCAGTGTTATCACCGTTTCTGTTTGCAATTGTGATGGATGTTGTGTGTGGAAACATAATGGAGGGGTTATTATTTGAGATTTTGTATGCAGATGATTTAGTCTTGATAGCTGATAGCATGGAAGAATTGCAGTTAAAATTTGACAGATGGAAAAGTGTTATTGAAAAGAAAGGGTTAAAAGTTAATATTGGTAAGACGAAAGTAATGGTGAGTGGGGAAGGTGGGGAGCGAGTGATAAGTAAAATAGACCCCTGTGGGGTATGTGACAGGAGAGTGAAGGCTAACTCGGTATTGTGTATAGGATGTCAGAAATGGGTGCATAAGAGATGTAGTGGTGTGAGGGGGCACTGAAAAAGGTAGAAGGCACGTTCAAATGTAAGAAATGTGTTCATGGTGTGATTAATAGGACGGACGCAAGGACGGGGTTGAGTGGTGGTATTGAAAGAGTGGAAAGCTTTGTTTACTTAGGGGATAAGCTGAACGCGGATGGAGGATGTTTGAGCGCAGTTACGGCTAGAGTTCGTGTAGGATGGATGAAATTTAGGGAACTGGGTGGGGTATTGTGTGGAAAGAAATGGTCAGTGAAGATGAAAGGGAGGGTATATAAAGCATGTGTGAAAGCAGCGATGGTATATGGTGGTGAAACTTGGGTGTTGAGGAGAGAGGAGGAAAGTGTACTGCAGAGGGCTGAAAGAGCTATGGTGAGGATGATGCGTGGGGTTAAAGTGAAGGATAGGAGGAGTAGTACAGAGCTGATGTCAATGATGGGACTGAATGAGGACATTGTGACATTGATAAGGAGATCGAGATTGCGATGGTATGGACATGTGTTGAGAAGGGATGAAAGGGTCGGGATTAGGCGAGCGTTGGAGTTCGAGGTTGAAGGAGTGGTAGGAAGGGGTCGTCCGCGATTGGGATGGAGAGAGCAGGTGGAGAAGGACAGGGTGAAAGCGGGGTTGCGTGATACTGAGGCGAGTGACAGATGTGGATGGCGTCGAGGGGTATTTCGGTTTCATCATAGGCAGCCAAACGGCAACCCCCGATCTCGGGGAAAATGTCGTCTAAACGTGTGTTGTTGTTGTTGTTGTTGTAAGTTTATCAACAATGTGTAATAATAATTTGTTATTTTTCAAATGAATTCTTTAACTAGTTAAATAAATAATTAAGGTTTTCAAAGCCGATCCAGCCGGTTACTACTGTGGACACAAAGCCTCCGCTGCTGGGGTCAAGCATTTAGAAGCATCAAATTTTTTGGAGAAGAAAATCAAGAAGAAAGTTGATTATACTCTCAATGAAGCTATTGATGTCAGCTTTGTTTTCATTGTTTGTTTAATTTTAAAATTGTAATTATAAATTATTGTATTATTGTTTGTAATTATAAAAGCAAAACTGGTGAATAACATCAGCTCACCTAACAATAAATGCCTTGGAGTGCATGCAGCTGAAAGTCACAATAAATAAATAAATACAATTCAATCAATACACTTCTTATAGGTAGTTATTTCTTTTTTATTCGGTTTTTTGATTTTGTTCTTTGAGTCATTTGATCATCAACATTTCCTTATTTTTAAAATTACAAGGTTATAATCTAAAATGTATTTTTTCTATTGTAAGGTTGCTATATCTTGCCTTCAACATGTTTTGTCAGCGGAATTCAAGGCCACTGATATTGAAATTGGAATTGTTACAACCACTAATCCAAAGTTTCGGTTTGTAAATTTTTTATGCATTTTGTAAATATTGTTTAGCATTTTTTGAATTTCTTTTAATTACTTATTCACTATTTTTTCCAGGGTTTTGTCGGAAGCAGAAATCGAGGCTCATTTATCTGCAATTGCAGAAAGAGACATTTGAATCTTTGTTGTTTTTGTTTGTGACTTATTTTTCTTATTAAGAGTTTATTAATAAAGTTTAATGCTTAGAAGTAGTATTGTTTTTGCCATGAACAGATTGCCAATAGAGGATGCGATGCACATTTATTGTGTAAGGAATTTCACTTTGTAACTGAAAAAACGTATTACGTGAATGTTGGCGTGAAAGCTGTTGCGTCGTTGTTATCTAGCATAACCTAATTTTAAGTAATTCAGAAGACTAGTTTATTTTACCGGTTTATAGTAATTCAGAAGACTAGTGTCAGTGTGAGAACCATTGCCAATTAATTGTCCTAATACACTGGTTTTCCAAGCTTGATCTTAAAACTTGGGGATTCCATGGAATCCGTCTCGTCATTCATCTCATTCCAGGTGTTTAGCACCCTGCTGCTTAAAAATCTGCTTGATTGAACCATATGTCTTCTTAAAAAGCTTAAAAAGTCCTCTTCTAGCCTCCATCTGGTAAACGGCGTATCCTCTTTTCCGATAATCAGTTTGCATTGCAGTATCATATCATTTCTGCATCTTATTTTCTCTAGATTAGTCTTTGTATTGAAGTTTTCTAAAACGTTTGATCATTTTTGTTGCTCTCCGCTGTAAACCTCACCCATATCTATCTAGTCAACAATATCTAAATTTTGAAAATATCTTTACACCAGTTACACAAAATAAATTAACATATGTTAATTAGTGATTCCAAGCTTTTGGTGGCGATACTCATATATATTTATTAAGTAGAAAACTGATGAAAGCATAATTTTTAAAAACACGAAAAAAGTTCAACGTCGTTCCATACTCCAAACAAAGCTAAACAACACTTAAATATGGAATCCGGTGCTCGTCGTTAAGCGGTTGAAATTGCCGGATAAATTGGAATTGACCGTGTGTTCTTTCGTTCGTTCAATAAAAAGATGTCGACACAATTTCATCGCTGTCAAACATTACCGTCTCAACGTAAAATCGCTTTTTTTATTGTTTAAAATTTAAATTTAGTTTCGAAGACAGAGTAGGGAATCTCAACTCTGTCTTCGAAACTAATTTAAATCTCTACTAGAGATTGATGTTTGTTTGTTAATTTATTTTTTGTCTGTGTGTGTGTGTGCGTGAATGTGTCATTATTCGTTAATTAAATGATATAGAAGTAATTTAATTGTAATAAGTAGTAATTCTTATAATTGTAATCAAATGTTATTTATTTATAAATTGCTAATTTTTTAGTTTGTTAATTTTTTTCAATTTAATTTTTTTAATTATTGTTATTGTTATCATTTTTTTAATTTTGAACTTTCTTTATTACTTTTTCATCATTTTTATATTCATTTTTATTTTTATTGTATTATTTTTGTTTTATCGTTTCTCCCATCTTTGAATGTTATATTGACATGTTCTGTTAATTTTTCAGTTTTTAATTTGTCTTCCATCTTCCTAATATTCAATAATCTATAAAAGTATAACAAAGATTTTTATTTAGATTTATACTTTTTTACATATTTATATTTTGAATAAATAATCAAAAATAATACAAATTATAAATGTAAAATCAAGTTAGCAAAGAATTACTAATTTACCCGTAATTTTAATTTCAACTAGACTCCAGTTCAAGCAGAGTGAATCGAAACATTTACCCCAATTACAATGTCAATCAGTCCTCATCTCAGCTGGTCATTTGTTTTTTTTTCATTTTTTAGTTCATTTAAAAAGTATATTTTTATTTCATTTTATTTAACACAGCCTATATATGTTTGTTATATTATATGTATAATAGACCCTTGTATAATATTCCTTTGTGTTTATTCATATTTGAGTTATGAAAATGAATTTTATAGGATAGTTCAACTACTGGGGTGAAATCAGTAAATCCATTCATTTCCAGTCCACATGGACATCCATCGTATGCACCTGTGAAGCTGGGATCCAAAGGAGCAGTTGGTTTCCTTTCTGTTTCTTTAATTTAACCTGTTGAAAATATTTATTATTTTATTTCATATTTTTTATTAATAGTAATGTTCTAGAGAAAATAATTATTTTACGATATATTTATGAATTTATAGTTTATTATTTGTTATACTTCTATCATTTTTTCTGTCCAGACTATGTGTATATGGGGCATGTAGGTTTCATGGCATGAGTTATAATAAGGCTGGAACTGTGGGTTGTGGAGTTGCACTGTGAATTATTGGAAATCAGTGAACTTACGATAGAGTAAATAACTTGGATGATAGTGCAAGTTACAACAGTAGTATAAATTCATTTTTTTATTATAATTAAAAATTTTAATTTGAATATTATTAGGCAGACAATAAGATGAACAAGCAGCCCAAGCCTCCCGACAAGCCACTGATGCCTTATATGAGGTACTCCAGAAAAGTTAGCAGATTGGTAGGTCTCCATGCATATTTCTTTGCCTTTTTGTATTGACCTGTTTTCCTGTGTTATTTTTGTGTTTGCATTTTTATGTTTACATTTTTATATTATTTACTCATTTTTATGTTTAATATTTTTATGTTTGTTTAGTTGAATGTTCACATTCATAAATTTTTCATTGAGATTCTCACACTAAAACCACTGAATGTTTGCTTTTTGATCAGATTGTTTCTTCATCTTACATTTATTGTTACCTTTTAAATGATGCTTTCAACCGTTATTAATGACTAAGGTTTTCATTTATTTGACCATTTTTTTCCTGATTGCTCCAAAGCTGATACCTTGCTCAACATTTTTGATGAACACATGAACGCAGACACACTTATAACACAACTTGATACAGGTTTGGGACTCAGTGAAGGCCAACAATCCAGATCTGAAGTTGTGGGAGATAGGCAAGATCATTGGTCAGATGTGGAGGGAACTGGGAGATGATCAGAAACAAGAGTACATCGATGAGTACGAATCTGAGAAAGTTAGTTTATTTGATACATTGATACTTGATAGATACATCACGTGTCTTTGTTATCGTATTTTTTAATCTTGGATTTATATTAGAAGGATGTATGATGAGATGCTTCTTGCTTGATTTGATTGGTCAATTATTACTAGATGGTAATCTTTGTGATCATGCATTTTGCAAATGCAGGCGCAGTACATGGATGCCATGAAGACCTACCACAACTCTCCTGCCTATTTGTCCTGGGTGGCTACCAAAGGCAAGGTCGATGTAGACAATGATGTTGACGAACCAGAGAAGAACACCAAAAGAAATGTTTGTCTGCGATTTTATTATTCTTTCCTACTTGTGGAATTTATTCATTAAATTATAAAATTCGTGCATTGATTATTATTAGTTTCAACATAGTGACGCATTTCACCATTTTATTACACATCATTATTGTTATGACACCCAACATCTCCATTTTGTTACATATCATCAACATAACGATTTATGTCATCGATGTAATGATTGATACATATCCTTGATATATTTACAGAAAGGACCAATTCAAAGAGAGTTGACGGACCAAAAGATAGTAACTACTATTCAGGCTAACGAAGATGAAGACGGTATCATGATTTTCATTATCTCTTCATTTAATTTCTCGCATTTTGCACTCAGACTTTTCTTTATATGTACCCCCTGTCATCTTACATTAAATTTACTTGAACACACTTCAGACCTTGAAGACTGTTACAGTATAAAGAATGTATCGGCGGCTCGTTACTACAGAAACCACTGTTTGATCAATGAGATATTCAGTGAGGCCATCGTGCCTGACGGTCGAGCGATCATCAATGAAACTAGAATGGTGGTCCTTAAGAGGCAGGTTCAATCTCTCACCATGCATCAGGTACCTTTTTATTCTCTCTCTCCCTCTCTCTCTCCTTTCTTTTTTATTTGATCATTTGCATTATATCATGGTTGATGATTTCAATCTTTGCAGAAAAAACTAGAGAATGAATTGCAGCAGATAGAGGAACGCCATAAATCAAAAAAATGTAAATTCACTGATTCTTGCGAACAGTTTTCTGAAAATCTCACTAAGGTTATTTCACTGTTAATTTTTATGTTATTTGTTTTGAATCTATTATGTACGTAAAATGTACACAATGTAAACAAAACATGCAAGATATGTATGTATCTTGCACCTGTGCATATGAAGTTGTGTGATGTTTTAACAACTAAGCCAAATGCTCTCTTGCAGTACATTTTCGTCAATGTGTTTGAAATTTAAAGTGACATAAACGTCAATTGAAGTTTTTTCTTATCAATCACCCACTCAGTTGTGCGAAAGTCGTCCGCAGATAACTGACGAGCAGTTTGATGTCATGGTTGTGAAGGCGAAGGAAGAAATGATCAAGCAGAAAATTCTTCTTGAACAGCAACAAGCCAAACAACAACAGCAGCTGCAGCATCGGCAACAGATGATTCTGCAACAGCAACTGGAGAAGCAACAAGAGACTGATTCAAATAAAGTCTGCTAACTGATTTGTTTTATTATTTGTTAGTTAGATTATTCTTCAAAACTAAACGATCTTGACTAAACAGGAAGATGAAAAAGATGAGGTCAGCATGGATACAAGTGAGCCAGTCGCTGCAGCAGCAACAGAGGAGAAAAAAGATGGTGAAGGTACAGAAAAAACCAGAAAGCAAGAAGAAACCAGCAAGCAAGTTGAAGGTGAGGCCAACCAGAAAGCAAAAGAATCGACAGATGAAGATGAAGAGAAAACAAAAACTGATTTAAAAACTAGCAACACGGAAGAGGATGATGATGAAAAAACTGATGACGAGCTTAATGATGAATACAATGACGGTGGGAAAAATGATAACAGTGTGAATAACGAGGAGGAAGAAGAAGGAGATGATGATGATGATGATGATCAGAACACGACTTTAGGCAGTAACGATGGTCCTCCAGAAAGCAATTGATGATTAGGTGATTTTCCGCTTATTGTCCTCTTACTTCTTTTCTCTGTTCTAGCGCCATTTTGTGGGGTCCATTGATGAGTTTGATTGTCTTTGAACGTTTAAATAGTATGAAATGAATTGGATTGTTTCATCACAGGTTTTAGAAAATTATGAAAACATCTGTTGTTTATTAATTCAAATAATTAAATGCTATCAACAAAACAAAATGTGTACAATTTAGAATTTAAATTTCGGTCCGTATGAAAACTTTTATCAAATTAATTTGTTAATTAATTTTGATACTTATAGTTGAGTAAAATAAGTAATGATAAAAAAAATTTTTACATGTGGCTTGCTAGTCGAAGAATGTTTGTCTGGATGATTTTAAAGTGCTAGTTGTTTTTCGAGTAAAGCGCCTTTTCCAGAGATTTTTTTTCATCGATTAAATAGAAAGCAGCTTTGTTGGCGTTGAAAGCATACATTCTATTCAACATGTCAAAGTAAAATGCTTTAAAAATAGTGCTTTAAAAATAGGTTAGGTTGAGTGTATGTAGCCTGAGAGGCCCTTAACTCAACCTTTGAGCGATTCTTCTTAACTCCTGTTAAGCGCTTATGCTAAATCTAGGGTTTGCTTTATCTGGCACTTTTCTCTGGAAACTCTCTACCTCTAACTTCTTTTCAATCACTTACGAAGTTCAAAGCGGATCTCAAGACTCATCCGTTTGAAAAATTCATCGAAGAGCGCTGTTTAACATAGCTGAAATGGCGCTTTAGAAACTTATTGGTTGATTGATTAATAAATAATGTACCAGCCAAATCAGGGTAAAATATCTCATAGTATGAAAACGATTGCAATAGGGAGTATATGAACATTGAGATCAAGCAGAATCTCGGATAATTTATCGTCAACAGTCTGTCAACATTTTGTCTTGTCACATGGAATCAATAATTGAAAAAAGTTAATAATTTTTACTTTTTAAACGTTTCTGAAGTTCTTTGCAGATAAATATTTAAGGAACAACGTGTCTGAACTGTTGATGGGTTCTTAAAACTTCGTCAAATATTCAATTAATCGTGATTTTAGAGGCGTTGTTGTTTCTGTTTCGTCGATTATTTCGTAATTGAATAACAACGAACCATTGTTGATAAACTAACGGTGAAAGAATTGTTTAACCAACACAAAATCTCAATGAAAAACAATTGAATTGGGCAGCTAAGTTTTACATGCACGTGTGACTTAAGCTACACTTGATTTGAATAAGTTGTACATAAATGTTAACAAAAGCTAATACGGAGCTAAAAATTTTTATTACTAATTTACGAAATTTAGAGCGCTTTCGTCAAAATTTCAAAATAAAGAGATATTGAACATTTTATATCACCATTTTAAATATTAGATTACAGATGTCGAATTCCACCAAAAAGAAAGGTAAAAAGAAATTTAACACTTTTAAACTAACTAGCGAGCTAGTTTTAACTTGCGGAAACTTGGCGAAATATACGACTAAACATTTTCTGATAGTTAAACAGATGGTGCTTGAAAGCTTTTAAATAATAAATACTTAAATCATCGTTGATTTTTTCCGGCAGTGAAAGAGAGCAAACGCTCGCGAACCAACTTCACAGATGCACAGACGAAGTTGCTGCTTCAGATGTACTCTCGTAACAGATATGCAACTCCAGAGCAGGTGGATGAACTGCATTGCAAACTACGGCTGTCAAAAGAACAGGTAATTTATTCCACGTGCCACGCACGTGTTATACACGACCAAGATGCTAAGAACTATTTTTCAGTTTAATTGAATTTATAATTATTTTAAATTATATTATTTTTTTATTTTCATCATATAACACGATTTAGTTGGTGATGTCCAAAAGTCAATAAGTTGATCGTACATTTATACCACTATACCTACATTATGCATACCTATTTATTCGTCCGACCACCTCTGTAAGCAAATTCAATCCTGCGATAAGTATTGTTCATCGGCATATCTACGCATTATCACACAAACAATACGAGACGTTAAAAATAACCTTCGTAACTAAACTAGAGGTTTTAGCTAAACGATAAGTAATGAACTTTATGAAGAAAACTGCACACCTCAACTCCAAAAATTTTACTTTCATTAACAAAATATTTATTAGATGTTTGCTTATTTAAAATTTGTTTAATCTACAAATTTTTCAGATAAGAATTTGGTTTCAAAACAAACGAAGGTTGGACAAAATAAAAAATGATGCCAGTCAAAAAATTTCAACAACTGAGCACGAAACAGTTATTTCAGACGATAGTAACAACAAGATGATTAAAAGAATCAACAAGAATTTTAATTTAAAAGTTGACGATGAAAATCTTTCGAAAGAAAACATTCCTCTTTTGGCGAATATAAATTTCCCAGATTATCACAAAGATGAGAATTTCCAAAAAAATTATTCTCAACTGGGAAATATAAACTTTCCTAACTGCGAAAAGAGTAACAATTTAGAGGGAAATGTGAACATACCAGATTATAAGAATGAACATTTCAAAGAAAATTGTTGCCATCCGGCAAATGTGAACATACCAAATGGTAAAAAAGATGATAATTCTAACGAAAATTTTTCGGAACTTTCAAAAATAAGCACCGCTGAATATAAAAAGGCTTTTGAAGACAAACTAATGCTAAAGTTAAATGACAAAACATTTACATTTCCTCATACGTTTCAAGATCAATTATTCTACAGTATCTTGAGAGATTTTAAATCTAATTTATCAAATGAATACGCTAAAAGTACGAGTGAATATTCTAGTGAAACTACGAACAATTATCCTAACAACAAAATTTCGTTGTACCAACCAAGTGATGCTTCAAAAGCTTATACAGACTACAGTAATCTTAACACTCCTGCTCCCAAAATAAGCCACAAATGGGATAATGATTTTCAATGTATGAGATCCTTTGAAGTTTTATAAATAGTTTGAATGTGAACTTGTTAATTATATTTCATCTATTTCATTTTTCTTTAAATGCGTCCTTGTTTTAAAACTTAATTTTTTGAGATTTACTTATGCTCCATTCTAATATTAATAGGAGCATACGTTACAATAGAAAATATTTTTATATTTGAATTCAATTATATTGGAGTTAACAAATTTTAAAAAATGGCAAAGCACGACAAAAGCTGTGCTGATTCCTCAAATATGAAGCGTTCAATTTTTTGAATCACTAAGCGTTTCTTTAGAAATGTTGTGTGTCTGTAGATCGATTAAAATTGTTGCAACTGTTGTTGAATTTTGTAATTTACGGACAAATTAAAAATAAATTAGGTCCTTTCGATGTTGTTTGTATGAAGCTCCCACACCTTCACGATGCGGTGCTTGCGCGTTCATGCAAAGTTTGTTTGCATGTCCACAGCCCAGTCGTGTAGGGTTCTTTCGATTGCGTCATTCGATCTGAATTGGCGTGGCTTCGCATGGCACTCCTCATCAAGATTTCAATAGATTTAGCTGAAGAGGACTATTTCATAATAAAAATTATTTTACAGCATGCTACTGTGGCCTAAAAAGTGGATGATACGTGAAATCAAATTATTAATATTTTTGCCGCTACTAAAGACATTATGACGTCGTCTGGATAGATTAAAACAAAAATCGTTGCTTGGCTATTGCTGAAAACATTTACTTGTCAGCAATTTAGAAAAAAAAATTATAACTACGAGTGGAATAGATGTGCTCAAAATAGAATGCATTGACGTAAACCTTTCAAGATCACGTATTCAATTGTTTTGTTTCGGTGTTTTTACAATACTAGAGTCCATCTGTGTAAGTTGCAGTTATTAAAAGTTGCAAGAATCGGATCGGTGCTGGATAGTATGAAGCCCATTCATTTTCCAATCTTTGCAGCATTCTTCATTGGCTATCACAAATGCGGCAACAGTAACATCTGCAAATTGAGTATAAGTTTGCAATGCTTGTGAGTATAGATGCGTATTTAGTTCACTACCGAGTTATTTTGAATGTGTTTGTGGTTTGATAACTGCTTCCAACAAATAACCTAAAATCTTCTTCAAATCAAATACTAACGGCACCAAAAATCAAATCCAGATTGATTATGCTTGTGTAGTAGCCAAGAAAAGTCTTAGAAGACTGGAGAAAGCCTATAGGTTAAATCCATCTAACTCTCTTTATTCTATCTATGAATCTGAATTGATTAATTATAAATATCTACTATTCTCTAAACACTCTACTTTTCTTAGAAATTCTATAACATCTGCTTCAACATCTAAAAATAGGTGGTCTGTTCTATCTAAACTTCTACATAAAAAATCTTCTCACTCATCTTTCTCTGCTCAACAGTTTCATGACTTTTTTGTAAATAAAATTACTTCTTTAAGAACATCTAATTCTAATTTTCCTTCTCATAACTTTACTAAACTTACTACTGAATCTTTCTCTGTATTTACTCCAATAAATCTTTTAGAACTAACTAAAATTATTAATTCTATGTCGTCTACAACCTGTTCTCTAGATCTACTTCCTTCCAATTTACTTAAAGAATTCTCTTCAATATTTTATCCAATCATTCTCAAATTAGTTAATTTATCTCTTTCCACCTCTAAATTTCCTACTTCTTATAAGAATTCTATTGTTATTCCTATTCTTAAAAACACATCCCTAGATCCTACCTCTTTATCTAATTATAGACCTGTAACTAATATTACTTTCATCTCTAAA